GGGGGCGAGAGACTTAGAGAGACATGTAAGGATCCTTCATCTAGCAACAGCGTTATATTGTGCGGGGTCAACCTGACTAACCTATGAACGTAAAAAACTGGCTCGTATTTGGTTCTCGTTTGGAATTCATATCGCAATTCAGCCTGTATCGTTTTCCTTATTATTCCGCGTAGATCTCGTATTTTTCGATGACACGTACGCTCGCGACGCTAAGGCAATCGTCTGTATATTCCTATTGCGGAGAAAAATGTCTAGTAATTTTTGCCGCTCGATATGAAATTTTGCCTGTCGCGTAGCGAGTTGCAAGTGATGTTTTATCTTGAATTTATAAATGAAAATCGTAATGATAAAATCGTTTTTTGACGAATCTAGCTAGCGCGTGACATAAATCATTTTAAACATCCAATCACGCGTCGTGGTTTTATCATAAAAGATAAATATCTCGCTCTTTTAGAATTCCGCGACTAACGTGTGTCCAAATGGCCAGGTTACAGAGTTTAGATACGCTCCAAGTCATTTAGTTGGCCTAGTTTCAGACAGTGCAGTAATTATTTACTTCGACGTTGGAAATGCGCAACACGGCGTGTTAGATCGACATTTGTGTGCTGTTTTATGTGGGGTAGCGACAACAGAACAAACGTACTCACGGCGCGTGGATTAAGACTTCTTGCTGTTGTGTGATCCGTTCAGCTTGAAACTCTAATTAAATCGTCTGCCTGTTTGTATACGGATTATGTATGTTCCGCGTTCGGGACAAGCCGTGAAAGGCCATTGGTATATCGAAATTTTATTGTATAGGGCTGTGTGCTAAATTAACCAGGCGGGCGCTGTCTAACCGGCGAAGAGGGCGGTGCGACTGATTGTCGGATAACTTTCTCTAAACCTATAGCAAGACCCGATTTCCTGGCAGTAAGGGCGTTCAAACAAGTTATATAACAAGGCCAGTAGGCCGAAGTAGGGCACGAAAATGTATGATAATCAAGTTATTGTTGTTATTGTGATGACATGGACGTCGTGCCTCGTATCATACCACTAGCCCCACCGCGCACCCTAAAGCCGGATTAACAGACCAATTGTGCATTAATATGTCTACTGATAGTAGAAGGCAGGCTGGTGACGAAACATGGTTTGGAATGTACTCATATTCAACATAAATATCCACCTCTTATGGTAGAGATTTACATTATAAGGTTCATACGGCCTAGGGCACGGGGAAAAGTACCATAATACTATAGGGCATATATAAGACTTAATTCATGTCATTATAATATCAGGAGTGAATAATATAATAGTACTCCCGATAAAATAATTCCACTCCTGAGTAATAATGTTACGGCATAGTCCCTGCGATTATTAATCCGTTTATCATTGATTCTGGCTGTGTGCGTATAATGCTCATCGCAAAGTGTAAAGTAACAATAGTACGCCATCAATAACCGCATGAAAAACACTATATACCTACGTATTATATCAACGTACTGCGGCGGCCTATCTATCCTCGAATATTATCCGCACGAATATAATTCTGCAATGACATCAATTTTTTTCAGCATCCACATCTCCCACAAGGAAGAACTTCGACAAGGGCATAGAGGAGTATGGAGCCGCCTTCACCGTCTACACAAGGGCAAGCAAGGTGTGAACCTTGGGGAGGATGGGCCGACAAGCGAGGCCTGCGTGAGGTGGCGAAAGACAGACGAAAATTGGCCGTCTCCTCTCCGCAACGAAGGGAAACAACGCGCGCGGCGCATACGTGCACGCACACATGTAAACAACACACGCGCGCGCGCAACGAACGCACGCACGGCACATGCACACACACGCCTCCCTCAAATCTCCCTGTATGTCTCGCTTTTGTCATTATATATAATATAACTCTCACCATCCTGGCTTTATATATATTATATATATTATGTATATATATTATGTATATATATGATATGTACATTATAATATTTATATATATATTATATATATATTATATAATGTTATATGCATGTTTATAAAGTTCAAGACTAAGTAATAGTAAGAGGCTAATGTATTATTAACTCTTGATATGTTCTAAATGCGTGTCATCAGAATCTGAATGTAGCCTGTATTTATCATAGAGGTGATTGAACAATCCCGTAGCTTGTGTCACACCGTACGTATAATTACCCTTCGTGTATACAACGCCTATTACTGATCGCGACCCTGGTTGCACTTAGCTCTAGAGTAGTCCGCGCCGCGTGCAGAAGCGCTGAGGCGAATATTGTAGCATCCTGCAAGTGATAATGAATCAATCTCTATTGCTAAATCTAATGGTGTGTGGTGGTGTGTGTGTGTGTGTGTGTGTGGTGGTGTGTGTGTGTGTGTGTGTGTGTGTGCGCGCGCGGCCAGCGCGTTGTGTGTGGTGTGTTTCTCTCTTCTTCCTCTGC